AGCGCAGATAGAGTGCGTGAGTCCCTTGATTGTATAGGCTTGTATACTAATTTGGGTGGGGTTGATGTTCGCGCGGGTAACGCTAACCATATACAGGGGGGTCGCACTTTTATGAGAACTATAATAACCGCGCCGCATCATTGACTATCATTACCTCTTTTACTCTGAACGACGCCAATCATGCACTATTATTCGAAGATGCTGCACGATGATAGCATAAATATGCAGCCGCCCGAGGATCCTTGTACGATGATTCGAGATTATGAGCCACGGACAGATGCGTCCAGAAAGTGAGACGTGGTAGGCTATCATTCGAGCAATGCTGCGCCACCAGCGGTAGCTAAGCGCTTTCTCCCACGGCTGAAACAGCTCCTCCATTTACCACGGGTCATTTGATGGGTTCATGATATTTTCTTTCGCTTCAGAAGACCAGCTCACCGTGCTCGCCACTCTCCTTACCTACAAGCCTTCGCCGCGCATTCTTCACCGCGGTCTGGCAACGATTATATCTCAGCCTGTTAGCTTACTGCATATATTGGCTGTATACGCCGTCCACCGTCGCACTATGTTTCTGCAGTCCAAAGAAACGCGAGATCTACTAGACATTGTTGACAGTCTTCGATCCCATGGAATCAATCGATACATTGACCTGCCCGAGATTATCGTGTGCGGCGAACAGTCTTCGGGCAAAAGCTCCGTCCTTGAAGCAGTTTCGGGTGTAAAGTTCCCAAGCAAAGACAACCTTTGTACTAGGTTCGCGACAGAGTTGATCTTGCGGCGAGGCGCAGATGCACCGATCAAGATCAGTATTGTTCCGGACTCCCGAGAAAGAGACCGTTCAGAGAGAGACCTAGAGAAGCTACGGAACTTCCACTACTCTGTCTCGACAGAAGACTTGCAACTTGAAGCTGTTATTGAAGCAGCCAAAGATGCAATGGGAATTTCTGAGAGCAGCGACAAAGTTTTCAGCTCCGATATCCTTCGTTTAGAACTGTCAGGGCCCAATCAACCACACCTTACGCTTGTGGACCTGCCAGGCTTATTTCAAGCTGGTAGCCGCTCCCAGTCAGACGAAGACGCCAAGACAGTCAAGACACTTGTACTTTCCTACATGAAGAATCCACGCAGCATCATACTCGCCGTTGTATCCGCCAAGAACGACTTCAATAATCAATCGATCACAAAACATTCACGTGAGATTGATCCAACGGGCCGCCGTACCCTTGGGCTGATCACAAAGCCGGACACGCTTTATGAGGGATCTGATAGTGAGAGATTTTACCTGGAGCTGGCGCAGAATAAAGAAGTAAAGTTCCGTTTAGGTTGGCATGTGCTTCGCAACAGGGACTTCACGACTAAGGACTCAACTACAGAAGAGCGCGACCGAATTGAAGCATCATTCTTCGAAAAAGGGATCTGGAGGTCACTTTCGGCTGATCAAACCGGTATCCACAGCCTAAAGCCAAGGCTGAGCAAGATTCTCAAAGATCATATTGTAGCGCAACTACCAGATGTACTCGTGCAGATCAAGGACGGCATTCAAGAATGTACGGCAAGATTGAACACACTGGGTGCGCCAAGAGCCACTGCCCAAGAACAGCGACGGTACCTGCTCCAGGTTAGCCAGTCGTTCAGCACTCTTGTCAAAGCTGCTGTGGATGGACAATATCTTGATCCTTTCTTCGGTGACGCTTCCACAAATGAAGGATATCAAAAGCGTCTACGAGCGGTTCTCCAGAATACACTAACAGCGTTTGCAGCCGACATGCGCAGGAAGGGCCATACCTTTACAATTCTGGACGAAGGCCCGACCGACCCACCTCATCGAATATCTCGTAAGGACTACATCTCGAAAGTCACTAAACTTCTGGAACGAAGCAGAGGTCGAGAGCTTCCCGGTACGTTCGACCCACTTATCATTGGGCACTTGTTCCACGAACAGCGAAAGCCTTGGGCAGGCCTTGTCAATCAGTATCTGGATATAGTCCTTCACGCTGTTCGCTTCCTTGCGCGCAAAGCTCTCGCGCACGTTTGTGACGAGGCCAGTCTCGCTGGCATACTAAGGCGGTTTGTCTACGTCAGATTGGAAAGGCTTACCTCTGAGCTTCGTGACAAAGTAGCGGAGCTACTGAAACCTCATGATTCTGGCCACCCAATCACGTACAACCATTACCTCACGGAGAGTGTACAGAAAGCACAGAGTGCACGTCGGACAAAAGAGATCAAAAAGTCTTTAGAGGGACTTTTTGGCGATAATTTCGCTGCAGGTGGCGTTCAACTGTTCGAGATGGACGTGGACGTCTTGATCAATGCCCTCGTTTCGAAGACTGAAGCTGACATGAATACTTACGCTAGCTCCACTGCTACAGATTTCATGGAGGCTTACTACAAAGTGAGTATATCTTCAGTCTCTTCTGCAGATTATTTACATTGGTAGGTTGCGCAAAAGAAGATCATCGATGACTTCAGTGTCCTTGCCGTCGAAGCGCGCCTCATCCAAGAACTCCCCACCCTATTTTCCCCGGCGGATGTTATTGATATAAACGATGTCACAGTGGCCAATCTGGCCTCCGAGAGCGAGGAATCGTCAAGGGGGAGAACGCGTTGTAGCGAGAAGCTCAAGATCCTAGAACACGGGCACAAAGCTCTCCAAGGTGTCCAGGTCATCTCACCACTTCAAAAAGGTGCGTAGGTCGGAAGAAAGATATTCTCATTTCTTATGGACCCAATAAAATCTTACAATTTCTAGATACCGAACGAATCCCCACAGAGTACAGTATAGAATCAGACAATGAGAATGGAAGCTCGGAACCGGAACCGGAACCGGGACTAGAAGCGGAACCAGAGCCGGAACCAGAACCGGAACTAGAACCAGTAGAGATCTTATCTCATCATGAAGAAGAGCCTCCTTATATCATTGAAGAGACTTCTGGTCCTGATCAAGCCGCTACACCTGACGATCAATGGAATTTCTCGGTCCCAGTTCCTGTTCCGAAAAAGAAGAAGAAAGCATCAAAAAAGATGCATAGGTCAGTCGAGGTGCTAGCCGAATAGCGGGCTGATCGTTTGGTATGTGTTCTACCGCTGTAAAAGAGCAGAATGTTCGAAACAGGTTCCAATAATACAACAATATATCTCCAAGTGAAGGCGTAGGCTCATCAAGAGAGTATGATGAGGAGTGATACAGGTTAGTTCGCCAGTTTCTCGCGAATGAGACGCATCGCCATAGTATTTCCTATACGAATGAGAAACACGACAAAGGACCGTCTGGCTTCCACAACTTTCCATCCATGATTCCGTCTGCTGGTAGATACGCAGGAGCGACTAATTTCCACTTGTTGCCAGCTGGCCGAATGACCATAGGCAGGTTGCACCCTTGAAGGAGGACGATCGAATCGCCAATTTCGATGCTTCTCGACGCAATCCCTAGACGGCCATCTCGCGTTTCGAAAAGCTTCTTGCGATCCAGTGTATAACAAAGACCTCTGTGCAGGGTGAGGCTGTCCTTGAGAAATCCCTCTGTGGAGTGCTGATCAACTCGACGTCCTAGAAGTCCCAACAGCATTGATCTCTGTTTGCCTCCTTTGGCTTCACTTTCCATCTGCTTCCGATGAATGTCTTGTCTCAGGGGTAGTGGAACCCTCTCTTCTTTCCAAGTATCCAGAAACAGTGACTCGAGTAAACCCAGATACTGGTGAACAGGCACGTCATTGCGAGTATGGAGAGGCTCCGCGAGTTTTTCGGTCAACGTGTTTGCTTCAACCAACAAAGGAGTAGCGGCGAAGGTAATGTGCTCCCGATACACGGCATCGACAAGCAGACCGCAAGCAGAGAGCTCTTGGCCTTGGATACACGGTTGGGCTTCGCTTAAACCACTAGCTTTGTGGTTCTTCCACTCTGCTACTCGGGTGATGTGTTGATGATCTGACCAGTCTGGACTCCAACTAGGCAATTGCAAGTCACACCTCGAAACTCCTGTAAGACCTTCGAAGATATGAAGGCTACGATCCGTCTGGATTGCTGATGAACTTGCTTCCAGGTATATACTATCGACAGCTCTCAGGTAATCTGGAGCTTGCAAATAGGCTTGAAAGCGCTGGAATATACCATATAGAGCGAAGACCTTATCTCGGGGCTCAGACGCCTGGTGGCTACGAGCGTGAAGCAGAACTTCGGACATCGGAGGAGGTGTGACCGGCTCGAGAGTGGCGTTCGGATCATCGAGACGTGATTGGAAGAATCCTAGCAGCCGTCGATGGAGAGTGGTAACTCGTTCATATTCCAATCGTAGGGAGGCAGCCTCTGCAGAATCCTTAACAGCGTGAGCTTTTTGTGGCGATTTCGAATGTGGCATCAGAAAGACTGATCTTATATCGACTACATCACGTGCGCGGACAGTTCTTTCGCCTACAAGTATGATACAGCTTTGAGCTAGTGCAATCTCCTGCAGAGGCCATATTCGAGTGAAATATGGCTTTTGTATCAACGAACGTAATTTAGGCAGTTCACGCCTAGCGTCTGGATCTTTGATGTTAGCTTACAGCACTAATGATATATTTTCCCTCTAACTTACATTTTCGAAAACCAGATTCTAACATGTCAGTTAAAAAGTGCCCACGTTCTACATGCCCAGGCCAGACAACTACTTGAACAGCGTTTTCGTAAATAGTAGCCATCATGGCGACTTGGTGGCTACGTTCTCTCTGGCTCCTCTCTCGCTGGCCACAGCCTTCCTGAAAGCCTTGATTGATACAGATAGCATCGATCCAATAAGATCGAGCTTGCGTACTGCAAATTCCCTGCGCGCAGAGATCTGAGTCTCGTTTCCGCAATCTGCAAAGAAGATCGTAACAGCTTTGGGTGACCCGTAGCACCTTAGAGTCACATGTAACTTGCTTCTCTAGAGCTGCGCTGCCCCAGGTATAGGAGATGGCTTCATATTCGGGATTGGCATCCAAACAAGCTTCCAGCAGGCTGAGTACTGGCATCCTAGCATTGAAGGCTGTACAGCAATAGTGGGTGCATCCATCGCAGTCGCGATGGAACTTCAGGTTATACAGAGGTCCATTACCGCAGTCATGGTCGATCTTGAGCAGCCGTATCGTGCGTGGTTTGTCTTCCAGGGAACTATACTGGTACAAGGACAGGCATTCTGGGTGCGCATCTTCTAGCGCTGTGGATGAGGATGTGGTGTCAGTCATGGCTCCCTGTCTGCTTTGAGATGAAGATCATGTAGTCTGGGAAGGATATATGGTTACTTGGTCAGAGGCGGAGGTAAGATGCACAAGGACAAGTGATTCAATCGAGTCGATGCTTTCGACGCATGACGCATGTGAGGCTGAGCCGGCCAGTCGACATCAGGCTTAGCGGCATGTTCAGCTCGTACCCCATCAGGCTTTCTTCGATAGACATTTCAGCTGCCAAGCATCCGCATTATCAACGCATGAACGCCATCGAACCACAGTACATGGGCTGCATGAGCCATCCAATTAGCACCCAATCCTGACTGCCGATCGCCTTGAGTATGGGAGATTCGAGTGGATCTGCTGGAAATGCTGAACGCCAAACACCAGGAGAGAAGAACAGGGAGGATGTATTTGATCTACCCTCGATACAGCGTCACGGCAATAGCCTTTGCAGAGCGACAAAAGCATCAGCCATCACATTTCAGATGTGCGTTCCTTTACATCTTCATCCCCGCAACCTTGCCCTTCTCCGGCTCACCCTCTTCGTTCTCATATAGCGGATTGACCTGCACTTCCCTCACCCACAACCTGAAGGACTTGTCCAACGTCTTCTTGTTCATTATCGCGCAATCCTTGATCTCCTGCGCACTCAAGTACGACACAGCCTCTGCATCACCGCCCGCGATAGCAATCGCTCGTTGCAACAGTATACAGTTCTTCTGAGTATATATCGCCCGATACACCGCCTCTTCAATGCTCGCTCCAAACGTTGTGAACCCGTGCTTGTGCTGCAGCACCACCGGGTTCTCCGGCGAGAACCGCGCCGCCAAAGCTGCACCGAGCGTCGCATTCTTGATCAACAAGTCGTGCTCCGACGGCGCTCGTGCCGTCCCATACAGACTATCCATTGTGAACACCGAAGCACCGCCCTGGCCAAGAAAGCCAGCCATGTAAAAGACCGGTCGCACAGGATGCGGCTCCCGCGCACCATGTCCCACGGTGAAAGGAATGACGTCCTCTGAATGGGAGTGCACCACACAGTTCACTTTTGGGAACCGTCGCAATATCTCGCCATGTATGTAGCGTTCGCTGTAGCCTTGTGGTGCGTCGGGGTCGACGGGCGTAGAGTCCTTGACCCAGTACGATATGAAGTCGCTCATGTTCTTGACGAGCGCCGGGGCGCCGGGATCGTATGCGGCGATGATGTATTGCTCCTTGTTGAGCGGGTGTCGCACGGATATGTGGCCGAAGGCGTCGACGAGGCCATGGTGGTGGAGGATGTGGTTGGCGCGGATGAGCAGGCGCAGTTGCTGCTGGAGTTGAGGTGGAATAGACATCGTTGGGTGTCGAGATTTGCGCTCTCTAGGCTGGTTCTCTGGGGCGGTCGCAATTTCTGGCGATCTTGGCGATGGCGGTCCGGTCTTGAGCGATTCGGCCTTGAGTGACTCAACTCTGGCCTCTTCAATGATTGAGAGTTCGCGCTCTTTTGATGGCTGCAGGTACCCGCGGAGCTGTGTTGGAGTGGGCGGATGAGATGCTAGAGCACGCGGATGTGAGCTCTCGGCGTCACTTTTACTCTTTTCAGCGGCGCAAACGTTGCAAAGTACCATCTGTGTTTTCAGCACTTGTACGTGTGCATCTTGCTCGGCCTGCGAGACGGAGGCCTTGACTTATGAGGTTTGCAGGCGATGTTTCAAGGCACTGGCGGGAATAGTAGCGTTTGAAACCGCGGACGCCTTGGAGTTGCTAGCTCTTTGACTGACTTCGAGTAGTGCGTCGCAAAGTCGACAATGATAGCCGTGGAGGAGCTGCGACTGTCGAGTAGTAGCTTGCGCCTGGTGCGCGCGACGAATTCCTACATCGTGACATGCTGCTGGATGGGGTCGCGGAGGTGTTGCGGGGAGGGAGTCGGGCGATTGGGCGATGATGAGGGGATCCGATGTTTTAGCGCAGTTAGACTTCCCGCCCGCGACATCCTTCCGATCCTCACCGACCCCACATCGTGCTGACGCTACTGACCACCCCCTCCGATCTTGGATCCTGGAACGAATGCTGCGAACATTCGGGAACAAAGTCCAGAAAAGCGACGTCTTCGCTGTCTCGCCAGGCTCCATCTGATCAATTTTGTTTTGCCACCCACCGCAAAGCCTTGAGTGGGATGAGTGCCCAATACATACTGGCTGGCATCGCAGCCGCAGGACTAGCGTTTTGGTATGATTTCAAGAGCTGGCAAAGCTTCGGTTCGCAGGCCTTCGTATATTCATGAAGTGCGGTTGCTAAACCGTCGCAGGAACCGGAGGCACGCCACCCACGTTGGAAGGCTACATCAAGATCCGGCGATGGGGTCTTTACCTGCTATACACGCGCCAAAACCTCCTAGATGCGTCACCCATTCCTGACTCAGGGATATCCTACATAAAACCGCAGAAGATTCCAAATCGCGTTGGCCGTAGACCTGGGCTCACGCGCTGGACACTGCCCCAACGCCAGTTTCCAGAGAAGATAACACCCGGTGCCTCCGCTACACTTCACAATCTGATGCGGGAGTTTGCGGATGCGAAGGCCTACTCAAAGTATATCGAGACGGGCCCAAGTAAGACTGAGGGTGGCACTGGCTCAGCCATCTACGTCAAACCAGATGTCAAGACCATCAACCCCGTCGCACACAAGATCTTCTTCGAAGTAGCGCACGTACACCCAGCAGAGAATTCCCTGCATGTATACGTGAGCCCACAAGACGCGAAGCTGGTGATGAAGAGGGGCTGGGGACAGCGCTTTCCAGTAACTTGGTTGGCACCGCCGAGCTGGATCATGGTATATGCGCCAAGGAACGAAGATGAAGTTGAGATTGTGAGGGAGATAGTCCGG